GAATCTCCATAAAATGACCTAATACATTAATTAATCATTATGATCAATCGATTTTAGATCTTAGAACAAGCAAAATCGCATTTGGGGTGTAATCACAAATTCAGAAAGCTCCAAATTGTGAAGAATATACAAAGAAAATATAAGAATTATCAGATAGCAAGGTGGATTGCTTCAGTTCTTTTTGCTGTTTTCAAAACCCAAAGATATACAAAAGTTAGAAGGTCTGTGACAAGAAGAATTCCATAAACATGATAAATTTAATTATTACAGTAAAAGATTACTGATTTATTGGCTTTGTGCACGTGTACAAGTAGCGGTACTTAACAGAATCGTTTCGATGCACCAAAATGTCATTAACTATAAAATCAATCAAATATAAAAAAGGTAGAAAATATGTGAAGCGGAATTACTGTCGTATATTATGATCTTTTTTAAAATTCATTTCTTGGAATATAAGAATTATATCAAACCTTTTGTACAATTCATTACTAGTGGCCGACAATTTCTTTTTCTATCGTAATAAATTGAGTCAGGGGTGCGAGACCTCTTGATTATTTAAATATTTACCAAAACTTTTATTATAAGTTACCTTACTTACTTATTTTTTGAAGTGAAACTTCTTTACGCACGGTAGGGTAAGTTCGTTTTATGCGAGTTGCTATGTAACGAAATCATGCAACGCATTTTCCCCGCTGTCTGTCTCCATGTATGCTTAGATCTTTAAAAATACCTAACGGATTTTAATGCGTTTGTTTTTAATAGGTAGAGTAATTCAAGAGGAAGGTTTATATGTATAATACATGCACAACATAGTAGAGAAACACTGATAATTTTAGAGGTTTGTAATGTGATGTCGTAATTAAACACATTTTTTTGCGCTTACATTGCAAACGCTGGTTGAACCCTACGAGATAGATCAAAATAATATACTAAAGTATTGTACACCTCAAAAAGGTCTACAAAAAAGTCCGTGATGGTATATGTCTATCTCTTAGAGATAACCCACAGAAAACATTTTTTATCCTTTACTTTTTACGAGAAATAATGGCTTATTTACGAAGCGATATTAAGCAATACAGCATTAATTCTTATCCAATTAAGTACTTTTAAATACATTGTGTATTTAATATAGATCAATATGACCCTTTACAGCATGTAATTTAAACGAATATTTTCGATATTACAGACTTAAAATGCAGGGACATAGCGGTTGCGGCGGTACCGGCCGGTTTGTATTGTCTAATGACAAAAAAGCTGTGATTGTTGTATATAAAGA